TTAAAACTAGACTAAGTTACTTACTTCGTATTAGAGATATGATTCTATTAACCGGATGTCTGGAGCTAATCAATGCATTTCATACATAGAAGCATATATATTATTCTTCAATGGATAATAATTTTTTTTTATAATATCCTCCATTTACTTTCTATATAACTCTTATAGCGAGCTTTAGACCGATGACTCCCAAGTTAGATGACCATAGGACACCAGGTTTTAAACCCTTACAGGCATAATCACTCGAGTTATACAAGCTCAAACATATATTTTTATTTATTCAATAATTAGTGCAATGTTCCTTTTCTTTTAGACACCCAATTTCTAAAACTAACCTCTAATTTGAAACTTTTACCTTGTTTTTGTTTCATTGGTCTAATCCAATCCTCACAATACAATTTTCACGTATGGAATCCCTACTCATCTTAATGTTCTATTTTTATAATAATAGGGCCAAATCGGAACAAACCGTAACCCGGGCGATCCGTGACCCGCATGGGCTCGACCCGGATGGGTCAGCGGGCGGGCCGGGTTGTAATCCAAAATTTGTGGGTCGACTCGGAACCCGTAGCGGGCGGATTTTTTTTCACGCGAGCTGTTATCGGGCTCATATGTGGCGGGCCAACCCGACCCGGACAACCCATATTGACACCTCTAACTGATCATACCAAAATATAAAACTTTTTGGATTAACAAACTTCAGATTCGTCATAATGTTTAATCAATTACATGGAATATCTTTAAAACTAAGCAAATTTATTTTAAATTAGCTAGAATAAAGTTCATCATCAATATATAATTTTATATTATTTGATAAAATATTACAAGTTTTTCTGGAGCCTTCAATGAAATCTAATGCAATATTGTATTAATATAATCATTTTTGTCTTTTTCCTTTAGGAAGTTGTGACAAGTTTAATAGTATGTTTAAAATATATATTAAGAATTAACTCCAATCGACAATTGATGTTTAAATCAATAATATGAAATAGTTCAAAGTAATTTAGATATTTAAATGAACCACATCTAAATTTTAACAATTAAATTTAAAATTTCAATTTTGAGCAAAATTCAATAATGCCAAAAACATGCTTTTGATATTGAAACTAAATAATTTAGATTCAAAACTTTGACTTTAAAGTTTTTCTTGCATTATATATATATGAAATTGGTGGGATTTCATGTAGGCCCAAAAAATTATCGGAACACGCATTTAACATTACAAATATAGTAGGAGGAATATACATGTCATTTGATCTTAAGTCGTGGCGAATTTTTTTCCTCCTTTCCCAAGCAAATTATATGAACACGAGTTTTGAATATATAATTCTTTTATTTTCTTATGAATGCACTCAAAAGAATACACAATAACTCATTTATGACATTCGCATCAATTATAATAATTAAAAATAATAATAACAATCAATACATGATGAATTAAGGAATTTATATATAATCAAAGCCTTTTTTTTTAAGGCTATAAATTGACAATTCGCCGTAACTTCTCATCAAAATGATTAAATTTCATTAATTTAGCAAAGAACGCTGAACAAAATATTTGAGACAAAAGAAAAAGACATATTTTTCAACTTATAATATTTATCGAGATTTGTACTACTCCAGGAGTACAAAATGATATTATTCAAGAATTAATAACTCATAGATTTATGCTCTTCGGGAGCAATAATACGATATTTTTCAATATATTGTAATGTCATAATTAGTGCTTTTATTTTTCGAGCAACAAAAATAATTCAAAATGAATAATCTAATGTTCTTCTAAAATATTGATTCTAAATTTATACTCTTTCAAGAGTAATAATACAATAATTCATTAAGAATCTTCGGGATCTTTAACATATTTATTAGACTAAACTTATATAAAATTAATGTTCAGGACTAACACAATGTTCTTTGAATATTGATTTGTATAAAATTTTGATTTCTCGAGTATATAAAAATAATATTCTTCTTGAATATTTTTGTAATTGAGTTGTATTTCTTCAAGAACATCAACACAAATTTCTTCATTTTATGTTGTGCTTTCTTCAAGAACACAACGAGATACATATTCTTCAAGAGTATAAATATAATATTCCTCTAGAATATTGACATTAACGATTCATTCTACCTTTCGAACAAAACATTATAATATTAAAATTTGTGCTATACATGAGTGACAATGCAATATTCTTTTGGAATATTTATATCTAGTGGGATGTGTTTTTTCGAGAACATCAACACCATATTCGTTTAGAATAAATATAATTTAGTTATGCTTCTTACGGAATAATAACATATTATTGTTTAGAGTAATAATTATGTAAGGGATTATTTTTCAAGAGTAAAAATATAATTTATATTAGATTTTATATTATTATGATCTTCCAGAGGAAGTAAAATCTGACTAGAATATTATTGAGAATTATAATATGCTATTTCGAGATCACGTTATATTTTATTATTATTATTTTTTCAAGAGTCAATATTATTTTGAAATATTGAAAATTATAATTCATATTCCTTATGAGCAAAATAATATTCTTTTGGAATATTAATTATAATGTTATATTACTTCAAGAGCAAGAACATGATGTGTTATCAATTTAAAATTTATAAAGGAATTCTAAAAATACTTAATAAGTTTAAAAAATATTAATTACCATACAAAAAGAATGTGATATAAAAATTAATTATCGAACATGAATTAGGGAAAAAAATCTTTATATATAGAAGTTAACATAATTGACTAAATCTCTTATCAATATGCAAAAGAGTCACATGTATAAAAGTTAAAAGGCGTGAATAACTTCAAAATGAATTTCACATCCAAAAGTTAAAGGCGTGAATAACTTCAAAATTCCACATATCAAACTGCATGAATTAAAGGCATGAATCAGAAGGCAATGATTGCGATAAAATAAATTATTTAAAAAAAAAATTCACATGTCACCAAATTGATTTCTTTACACGTGAAGAATGATTATGCTTATAAAAATTATTATCTTCTAAATAATTCAGTTTGAATTTGAAAGAATCGTGTTGATAATGTATTATAAATCAAAGAGAAAAAAGAGAACAACAAAGAGAAGCCAATAATTTTTTGTGTTTTATTAAGAAATATTTATAGGGAAGAATCAGGGTTACACGAGATACAACAATCATAATGACTAGGGCTGCAAGGGTATAAAAGTTATTTAAAAATGCTATTATATGTACAACAATTTTTCCTTTTTAAAATTGATGGTGGTGTAGCCAATGCCCCGTTTGGCCCCCATTATCCCAAAAATTTATTTTTTCTCTCTTATTTTTAACTATGCGATCTTCTACAAAATAATATTACACGTGAATTAAAATTTTTTCCTTCTATTTCAACTACAAATTCTAAAATACTATTTCAAAAATTATAATTTGAAATAATGGGAGTCAAACGTGGGCAATATTTCATGAGTAGACATCCATAGGTTACAGTTTTTACATATGTATAGTTTTATAAGTACAGTTTGTAGTCAATTTCTAAAGCACATATTTTTATCACATTTATCACTCCCTCTCTCGCCAGTTTTAAAGTTCGATTGT